TTTCACAGTGAAGCCGCATAGCGCCTCTACTTGACTGTCAATGAGACAGCTACTAGAGGCTCTGGAGGCTGGATTAACCCTCAGTATAAACATAGCAGTTTCTCTGAAACTGCTATGTTTATAAAAAAAAGGGTTAATCCTAGAGGTACCTGGCACCCAGACCACTTCATAAAGCTGAAGTGGTCTGGGTGCCTAGAGTGGTCCTTTAAGACACGGAGGCTCCTATTATGCTGCACTCTTTCTTTGTTTCCCTCAGCAGCAAAGAAAAATATAACATTCAAACGGTATGATAACAATAAATAGCATGAGAGGTATATCTTCCTAGCAACAGGAACAGCCAATCAGATTTCCCTCTCCAGCATAATAGGCAATGATGCGTAATCTATTTCCTCTTTCTTTGCTGCATCCTCACTTAAGTAACACCAGGTCCCAACGGTTTTCTTAATTGTGGGATCTTTTAAATCTTTTAAATGTATATTTAATAATATAGTTGATGTATTTAATTATACTATTACTTAATCTACAGTATTAATACATTAGTTTATTCTTGGTATATTTCTACAGTATTAATGAATTGGTTATTCTTGGTATATTTCTACAGTTGGTATATTTCTACAGTAGTATACATTTGTTTACTCTTGGTATATTGATTTGTATATTTCTTGATTTCTTGATTTATATTGTTTTATTTAAATTTGATTTAGCTATTTGTGTATTGCTTGTGTTCTGGGACCTCCCTGAGCGCAGTTTTATAAATAGGACTCAGGAACATCTTCAGGGGCTGTCTGTTCCCTGTTCAGCACTTTCGCTCAGTTCAGTTTTTGTGAGCCTGTTTACTGTTCCGAACTGCCATTCACTAGATTTGAACATGTGCATGCATGTTTTGTTCAGTTAGAACGTTCGGGAGCCATTTCTTGTTTTTTTCCCCATCTTTTGTCGCTAGTACTGCCCCCAATGGTTGGGACTCAGAGTTGGGATTTAGTTTTAGAAGCGGTCAGACGGCTCCGATGTTTGTGAATAAATTTAGATTGTATTCAACTACTATGTTTACATTGTTCCTCCCTTTTACCCTAGATCCTCTATTTGGGTTAATCAACCCTTTTTTTTTTCACTTACTATAAATTATCAGCTCTTATTTAAAATGCAGTCTGACAAAGATGCCTCAGCATCCTCTGGGTCTATTGCACCCATTGCGGTTGCTGTTGATACATTTCCAGGGAGCGGAATTCCCAGCTGACTTTGATGCTCCTGCTGAAATTCAGGCTTTGATTGATAATTCAATGTCGAAAGCCATGACGAAGGCCATGATGCCTGCTATGGGGGTAATGTCTGACTCCCTGTCACAGACATTTGCACAGGCCCTACAACAGAAACAGAGATCGGCTCAGCCGACCATTACTCAGGCATTGCCTTTAAAGACTTCTGCGCAGCCTCATTCTGGCCGCAAAGTTCTCACTAAGACTAAACACTCCTCAATGTCTAAGATGGACAGCATTACTCCTGTCACAGATAGCACGACTATTATGCCACCGTGCGAAAGAGCCACTAACTGGGCAAAATCGGCTAGATTATGGAAGAGAGCAAAAGCTCAATTAGATTTCTGAGTCAGATCTCAGTGATTTTGAGGAGGAGTCCTATATGGACGATTCAGAAGATCCATCGGATCCTGGTTCTGACTTTGGAGTTGAGGGATCTGACCCTTCCCTGGACACTGTCATTAGTGTAAACTACTAAAATTGATTTTGAACATGGAGCTTCAGGGGACACATGTAAGTTTAGATCCCCATGGCGAACCCCTTTCAACCCCAATGAGCTGCGCCACCCACAGCCAGCTGAATGGCCTCCCTCAGACCACATAGCCGATACATAGCATCACGAGTACGCAAGCCTTTGGTTATGGTGACCAGAAACAAATTGAGGGCAGAACGCCCACGCCCTATGGTCCCAGAGGACGCTTGCAGAACACCTGCAACTTATCCAAAAATAATAGAATTCCTTGGAAAGAAGGGTTGAAAACCCAATAAGTGTCTAGATTCCTCCTTATGGAACTGCCAGGATAAGGTCCTGGATATCTTGGGCCCAGCAGCCAAGATTTTGAAGTGGTCATAGACGACCGAGAACTAGATCGTGCCACCATACGTGGTTGGATTCAAAGGGTAATTTGCCTAATTGGCAATGCCAATACAATGATGGTCACAGAGCGTGGAAAATCTATACTTACAAAAAATGTAACCTAATTGGTCAATATGGCTCTGAATGAGCCGGGCGCTCAAGCCACTGGTCTCCTATTTGGAGACAATTTTGTCAAAGAACTCGGTTCTTTCATACACAAGTTTACAGCCTTAGATAAGCGCAATCAATTATGAGCAAAGTATTTAACCCATAGGGATTTTGGTGGGGCCGGAAGAGCCAGGAGCCATGTATCAGGCCGTATTACCAGAAGTTAGTTTAAGCAGAACCAAGGCTCCTATATAGGGCAGGCCAGTTTCTTTCCACACATGGTCGACCCTGGGTTGCCCGTGGACCACGACCTTATGGTAAGTACTCTCACTTTACATTCTTCCCTATTGGTAGTGGGTGGCAGACTTATTTAGATGAGATGCAGACCTTGTCACCAAGGAAAAATTGGATCTGATGAGCAGACAAGCCATCATACAAATTCCAATGTTATGTGAGCAACCTCTTCCTGGTTGACAAAAATGGTGGAGGTGTCTGCCCAGTGATAAACTCAAGGCAGCTCAAGACTTACGTAACCTATCACCACTTCCAGGTGGAAGTTATGAGTTGTTTGCCTGCAGAGGCGGCTCTCTAATTAGGCGATTTAGGCGGCCGCCTAAGGCCTCGTGCTGATGGGGGCCTCGCGGCCGCCTAAATCGCCTTAGGGCAGTGTGACAGATCGGGTCCTCGGTCAGAGACCAAGGACCCGACACAGGAGGGGGCCCGGCGGCTTGCCCTTTATGCCGCCGGGTGCGAGGCCCCTCCTCCGCCTGCCCGGGAGAGAGCCAGCCTGTCTGCAGCTCCGCTGAGCACAGAGCTGCAGACTGACGGGGTCTCTCGATCTCACCCAATCAGAGCGTTGCCGCGGGTTACCACGGCAATGCTCTGATTGGCTGAGATCACAAGACTAAAATTCCCACGTTGTCTGCAGCTCTGCACCCGGCGGAGCTGCAGACCGTAAAGGGAGACCACCGGACCACCAGGGATACAGCCTGGCCGACCACTGGACCACCAGGGAATAACTGAATCCCCAGGTATTTATGCCACCCTCTGCCCCCACTACCTCTGCCCCAGCCACCCTCTGCCCCCACTACCACTGCCCCTGCCACCCTCTGCCCCAGCTACCCTCTGCCCCAGCCACCTCTGCCCCAGCCACCCTCTGCTATGCCTGCCCCAGCTTCCTCTGCCCCAGCCACCCTCTGCCCCTGCCACCCCACCACCACTGCCCATGCCACCCTCTGCCCCAGCCACCACTGCCCAGCCACCACTGCCCTGCCACCCCTCTGCCCGGCCACCCTCTTACCACTTCCCAGCCACCCCACCACCACTGCCCCAGCCACCCTACCACTGCTAGCCTTCACCACTGCCCAAGCTTCCCTCTGCCCATACCACCCCTCTGCCCCAGCCACCATCTGCCCCAGCCACCCACACCACCACTGCCCCAGCTTCACCCTGCCACCACTGCCCCTGCCACCACTGCCCCAGCCACCCTCTTCCCCAGCCACCCCACCCTCTGCCCCAGCCACCCTCTGCCCTCCTACCACCCCCTGGCCCAGCCACCCTCTGCCCTCTTACCACCCCCTGCACCAGCCACCCTACCACCCTCTTCCCCAGCCGCCCTCCTACCATCCTATGCCCCCTACTATCCCCTGTCCTGTCACAGCCACCCTACCACCATCTGCTCCCTACTACCCATACCCTGTCACTGCCCTCCTACCACCCCCTGCCCCAGCCATCCTACCACCCTCTGCCCTAGCCACTCTCTGCCCTCCTACCACCCCACTACCCTGTCACTGTCCTCCTACCACCCTCTTCCTAGCCACTCTCTGCCCTCCTACCACCCCACTACCCTGTCACTGTCCACCTACCACCCTCTTCCCCAGCCACTCTCTGCCCTCCTACCACCCCACTACCCTGTCACTGTCCTCCTACCACCCTCTTCCCCAGCCACTCTCTGCCCTCCTACCACCCCACTACCCTGTCACTGTCCTCCTACCACCCTCTGCCCCAGCCACCCTCTGCCCTCCTACCACCCCACTACCCTGCCACCCTCTGCCCCCTACCATCCCCTGCCCTGTCACAGCCACCCTACCACCTTCTGCTCCCTACTACCCGTACCCTGTCACTGCCCTCTTGCCACCCCGTGCCCTGTCACAGCCCCCCTACCCCCCCCTGCCCCAGGGGAACCCTACCACCCTCTGTCCTCCTACTGTCCTCCTACCACCCCACTACCCACAGCCCCCCTACCACCACCTGCCCCACCACCCCTGCTCCAGCCCCACCACTACCCCTTGTCCTGTCACAGTCTCCAACCACCTCCTACCCTGTCACAGTCCCCCACCACCTCCTACCCTGTCAAAGCCCCCTACCGCCCCCCACCCTCTCACAGCTCCCCTACCATGTCACCCCACACCCATCCAATCACAGCCTTCCCACACACAAACACGCTGTCACAGCCTTCCACTGCACACCTTGTCATTCCCCACCCTATCATTACCACACACACTGACACCTCCTTCACATACACTATCACCATTCCCAAACACTTTCAGACCCCACACACAGTCGCCCCCTAAACCCGGCCAAACTTACATAACCCCTCCTAATCCTGTCACTCTCACCCACTGCAACGATACCAAACTCCTTGCTTTGCCACACCTACCCTATTGCACTAATCCTGTCACACTCACCCCCCGACCCTGTCACTCATCCTCTATCAGTCTGTCCCACTCACCCCCTTCACCCTGCCACACTCACCCTATTACATAAACCCTTACAATCCTGTACTCCAACTGTGCAACACTCACCCCAAACCCTGTCACACATAGGTAGACAATGTCAGATACAGTCATATATACATACACCGCCACTTGTGTATATACGACTGCAAGGCTATGTAACCATACCCCTCAGTTATGTATAAATGAGTGGCATAATTGCTAATTAAATTTGTTTATTGCAAATTAAGTTAGTTTGCAAATTATGCCATAACTAGAGTCGGAGAGATCACAATGCAGCGGCACAGGGAGCCGCGACACTGCAAGCCTCTGAATGATGAATACAGAGACTAGCTCTCTGTATCCAGCACTGCCAGCTTGTCCTTCAATACAACTACAGCACCTTATACACACAATGCAACCCCTATTTTTAACTTTAGGTGTTAGTGGGGGCCTCATGTTTGGGTTTCGCCTAAGGCCTCACAAAGTCTAGAGCCGCCACTGTTTGCCTGATCTTCTCCAACCATCAGATTGGATGGCAAAGTTGGAACTACAGGATCCCTACCTCGCAGTGCCTACAGCATTACAACACTAATATCCCCTGCAGTTCATTTGGCAGGGAAAGAAATGGAGGTCCACATGCCTCCCATTCGGGCTGTCTTCAGCCCTGTGGTGCTTCACCAAACTCATGAAGCCTGTGAGAGGTCACCAGCGCCGAGGGAGCCTAGCGCTGGATAAAGGTAAGTGGCTGACCCCCTTCAACCCCTTCAGTCCAGCGGGAGGGGGGCCCTGAGGGTGGGGGGACCTAAGGATTATATAGTGCCAGGAGAACGAGTTTGTTTTCCTGGCACTATAGTGGTCCTTTAACAGTTAAAATGCTTGTAGAACTTGAAAAATAAAATGTCTTAATTTCTCAAAGATTTTTACATTTTATTCATATTAAATTATGTTTCATATATAAATATTTGATATGAAATGAAAGCCCTGTTTCTCCTGCACAAAATTCTATATAAGTGTGAGTGCACTTAATATGAAAAGAGGTGAATTATGGTTGAACAGATATATAGTGCAAATTCCAGGTTTTGTTTACGTTTTGTTTTGATCACAACTTGTACAATTGAATCCGTTCTTAAAGGGTTAACATTGCAGAGTATGCTAATATTACTTTCCCAAAATGGAAGTACTTGTTTATTTCTCCTTCAGTATAATTAAATGCAAAATGTACTTATATAAAATGGTTATAGCCCCAGAGAAATTAAATTCATGTGTTTACACCAATATGCAATATGTTAAAAAATGTGCCTAGTGAGATTCCAAGATGGTTGCTAGAGTGAAGACTGATGCATGCTGAGGTCTTGGTTCTTTAACCCCTGAAGGACCAAACTTCTGGAACAAAAGGGAATCATGACATGTCACATATGTCATGTGTCCTTAAGGGGTTAATGATCTCTGCCCTTCTGATGATACAGGTGTCTGTTGGTGGTGTTTGCTGAGCAGACCTGAGAGAGAGATCCCTCCTGCCAAAATCTTGCTCATTTTATCCCCCGTTTGGACACTCACTCATTCACAAAAACCACAATGCATTTTTTTCTTGTAAAAGGTGAACACATAGGAAATTCAAACTGATAAGGAAATGAGAAATGATTTACGAGATTAAATTAAGGGATTTT